AGCACTGCTGAGGCTTTTAATTCAAGATACACCCCAAACATCACACTATGAATCATGATGAAAGGACGGGTAGGTAAGTGATGACTGGAGGAAAATTTGTTCTAGTATGCTTAGCAAACTGATAGTTTTCACATTGAAAAGAACTTGGGTTTTATTGATGACAATTGAGGAAACATCTTTTCTAGATACACTAAATTGGGATGGCCAAGACAAAAATGGCAAAGCATAACTTCATCCACATTATTGACTCTTGAATTGGAAATCGAGGAGTATAGATGACACAATGACACACTCTTTGACACACTAGTGAACATTTTGCAACTTGAATAATTAGCTTGTCTACTTGGAGGGTTATTCGTTTATAGTAGGTGGAGATCTGATACCAACTCAGCATTGCTAATTGTCTTCCCTGATTCCATCTCCTAAAATTCACAAAAAGATAGGAAACAAATTTAGCAACACACTTAAGATCTCGGCTCAACTTTCTAACTGAAAGTAAATTACAATCTAAATTTTGAACGTGAAGAATAGGAGAGAGAATGATATCCTTTGTTAAGCATGCAGATCCTATTCCCAAAACCATGGAAGGGAACCATCTGCAATACAAACGAAAGAGTTACCCTTTTGAGGAGTGTAATCATGTAGGAGTGTTGCATCTCCTATCATGCAATCTGATGCTTCGAAATCAACAGTCCAGGATCTATTATGATCTTTGCTAGTTGTAAGGGCAATAGAAGAACTACCTCACTGAGCCATCATACTTGTTGCTCTAAGTTAGCTGGTAGATTGCAAGAGATTGTGGCCGATCATTTTCTATAGAAGTTCTATTTGTTCTTTGCTGAATCCTTGTTTCACTTGATGTTTTTTCCTCAATGGATGAAGCAATATTGGCAAGGCTTTCTTTATCATGATTTGGTTTTTTTGGCTTCCAATCAACTAGTCTTCCATGGATCTTCCAACAAGTCTCTATCAAATGTCCTGGCTTACGGCAATGTTTACACCAGGGCCTTCCTAGTTGCTGTTGATTGTCATTGCTACTGAAGTTGGTTCTTCAAATTGCAAGTGCAGAACCATCAAGCAGTGAAGTGTTTGCTACTACATCTTGCAATCCCATCATTATTTTTCTCCAATTTTTGTCACATCGGACCTCGGAAAACACTTCTCTAATGCTTGGTAGTGGTTTGATGCCTATTATATGTCCCCTTAGTTCATCCAACTCCCTGTTGAGTCCCAATAGGAATTTGAATATTCTTTTCTGCTCCACAATTTTTCTATAATTGGCTGCATCATCTGTGAACTTCCATTTGTGAATATCAAACATATCAAGTTGCTGGCAGTGCTGTGTTAAGGTATTGAAATACTGTGTGACAGAGAGACTCTCTTGGCAAAAATCATGCAAGATAGCCTCAATCTAGAATAGTTCTGCCGTGTTTTTAGAACTCAAGTATGTCTCTTTTGTTTTGTCCCAGATTTCTTTTATTGTGCCATAGAGAAGAAAGTTTTCACCTATATCATTGTTCATGGAATTTATCAACCATGACATGATCATATTGTTGTCACTCTTCCACTAACTGAATTTTGAATCTGCTTTTCTAGGATTTCAATCTCACTGGTGAGATATTCATCTTTACCTTTTCTGAAAATAAACATCAACATGGATTGATACCATTGAAGATAATTTTGTCCGTTAACTTGTGACTTGTGATTAGAATTGATCCAAATTCTGGGTTAATATGAGTGGTTGTTGTCCGTAAATTCTTCTTCTGATTTAGAATTGACCTTGGAAGTAGAGATTTGAAACACTACTCCAAATTTTGTCATGACGTGATTCAGAGGAATCGAGAAGGAAAAGATTGAAGAATTGCTAGAAAAGAGACTTGAAAGGTAGAAGATTTGAAGTTACCTAGATCAGAATGAGAATGAAGAGTGAATTTCACATAATTAGATTATCAAAAACAGATCGAAGAGGAGGCTCTGATAGCATGTGAAACTTTGAGAGAGAAAAGAAATCATTCCCCTTATATTGAGATGAATAACAGAGAGGTACATATAGCAGAGAGAGTGGCATTCTAGTCCAGAAATTCAAGAAGAATTCCTTCAAATCAGGAATTTCACAAAGAATAGGAAACTAACTAGATGAGACTTAGTTAACAACCAACAAATCTCTTTATTATAAACAATAACTAAATAAAGAATACTAATATAGATGATAATTCCATAGGATCTAACTAAATTTGATGGGTCTAGCCCTGGATCAAGAGATCTAACCCAAACTCTATTCGTTGGCATGCCTAAACAGATATTTAGGTTAATTCTATGTTGCACCCCTCAATTTTATCTCACTTCTTATTTTGGTTCTTAAATTATAAATTGGGACACTTCAATCCTTGAATTATAAACACTATTCCACTTAAAGACAATTGTGAATCGAATCTTCAAAATTCACAAAATACAATTAAATGAGCAACAAAAATGATTGAACAAAAAGATAAAATATCTCAAAATTAGTGGCAAGAAAGCAGATAAGAGATCAAATTGAGAATCTCAGGTGATTTAGGGACTAAATTATCTAAATTTAGAATTTAGGGCCAAAGTCAAAATCAGTAAATAATTTAGAGACTAAAGTATCATAATCTAGAATTTGAAGACCAAAATAAAATCAAATTATAGTTGAAAGTTACAAAATAGAAAGGAAAAATTATTCAAAATGTCCCTCACATTTTGTCAAATAAATTTAAAATAGTAATTTTACGTCCCTTACAAAATTAAGCTGATAGAATCTAGTCCTAACTTAGATTTTCGATCCCTTTTTACCCTAAATCATCACGTGGCCTACATATGGTCATTTTTGGAGCAACAACATTAGTTTGCATTTGTACTTGAATAAATAACCCGATCCATATTCATTTTTGTCCCTAAAATAGTAGGAACTGATCTAAGCCACATTCAATTTTTCCTAAAAAGGTGAGATCCGATTCAATTCATATTTATTTTTGTCACTAAAAAGGTAGGATCTAACCATTTTTAACATAAAAACTGATTGTTTGTGGATCACGTGGTGATTTTAAGTTAAAAAGTTGTCTAAAACTTAAATTGGGACCAAATTTTACTAAATTGAATTTATATGGGACATAAAATTACTATTTCAAAAGTGAAGAATGAAAAATTTATTTAGCCAAATGTGAGAGATATTTGGAATGATTTTCTGAAATAGAATTAACCCCTATTCGGTACTATTTAAACTGGAATTATTTTTTAATCAGTCCACGAGCGGCTTCCAAACTCAGAATCCGGGAGTTGGTTAATGAGGTAGATTTTGCCGTCCAAATCAATGAAAAAGTCCACTCCCTCCCCCCCCCCCTTTTTTTAGCATGAATAATCCTAATAATATGCACCACTCCCTTCCCCGTTCTTTTTCTTCTTTCATTGTCTTCTATTTCTTTTAGAGCACAAATTTTACATGGATCATATGAAACCCCAAACTACAGAGATAAACACCACCTGTAGTGGAAGGACTTAAAGAGCTTCTCAAAAGCTTAGAGAATAGCTTTTTCCTCGTGTTAGAACTCTAACATGGACTGCACCCAATATGACAGTCGAGGCACTTACATAAAATGATCAAAAGAAAGATACGCAATCTCCTTTATCCAACTGCTTTCTTTTGGTTAGCTACTCACATCACGTATACATTTGCAGGATCCCTTTACTCGAAAGACCAATGAAGAATCTTCCTTTAACGTGTAAAAGAATTCGTACCAAACCTAAAAAGCACCCTTACATTAACAAAAAGATAATCATCCAAAGATCAAAAGGAAACCTCTATATCAGGCACAAGTATTTTCAGTGACAAGATTCGATGCTTTCCTGCGTTTTGATATGAGAATTGTGTATCAGCATACCATTCTGTTGTGCTCAATATGATTGTAAGTATTTTGTTGGTATAATCTCAGTTCTTGCACAAGAACAATAACGATACGTTATTATACATTGATTCCTATAACAGATCAACCATACACACCTCGATTGACCAACATCTAATTATATATGGTCAAGTCCACGTATAATTCACTATCTTTTAACCCAACCTTTCACTTTAGAGTAGAATTTCTTTTCCAAAATCAATAAATTGTTCTCCTTCCATATGTTGTGTCCTTCCTTACCAACAAAAAAGGGAAAGAAAAATCAATATACGACCTCAATTAGCTTAAGATAAATATTGAAAAAAAAGGATTAAAAATAATTGAGCACTTCCTGATGACATGAATGTACATTCAAACTCCTTTCTTTCATGATAAGCCTAAAAATGAAAAAATTTGTTGAGATTGGTTATTTTTTCTGGGGTTCAATTTTAGGTTTTGGAGGAGGAGACGAAAGGGTTCATCTACTTTGAGATTTCCATGCTTAGTGGCAATCTCAAACCGGTGCAAAATTGAATCATTTTTTTTCCATTTTCTTTCTTTTTCTTTTTTCAAAGGATCCGTCTTCTTACTGCGTGTTCAATTTACTTTGATTGTAGAAAACAAATTGAGACGGTTAACATACTAACTGAGATGGTTCTACTCAAAACATTTGGACAATCTTAGTCGTGCTCCTTTTATCATTGGCATTACTTGTGAGCTTTCCCAATCAATAGAGTCATTAATTAATAATAGCTAAATCAACAAATTCGATTGTCTAATGGAGACTGTGGAAAGAGCTTCAAGCCAATTTAACGTAAATTACTTTAGATAAGAGATATGAAATATTATTTAAAATAATTATTATAACACTTTTTATGATATGATATATATGAAGTAAAAATGTATTTAAAAAATAAAAAAATAATTAAAAAATATGTTTGTGATACAAGTAAAATAATTTTTAAAAAAAATTGATATATGAGCAACACCTTTGCCAATTAAAGAATTTAAAGCAAGTGCCCCATCTGTATCAACAGTAGGGTTCCCACACATTATGTATAGTAACTTCATTTTCTATGCATTTAATGTATCTGGAATATGTACAAGATATTCCTTTCAAGACCAGAATAAAGGGAGAAATTAAATTAAAAATATCAGCCAAAAAAAAGCCAGAGAAAATGAACAGAAATGAATTTGGGAAAAAAAATTCGTTTCCTCAAGCATGGAATCAAGTACCGGAGGTTGAAAATCTTAATGGCCCATCCTGGGCAAGACATGAATTGCTACTGCTTGATACGCAGGCGGAGTATCCACAACCCAAAATCTAGGCGGCGAAACCACCACGTCCACCACCACAATCTCCAGCCCACTGCCACCAACTATACACACTCTTCCACCGGCTGCGGCCACGTATTGTGCATCTTGGAGCATCTTGCTTTCCAGTATTTGAACCCACGCGTCCTTCAATGGATCGTACATTCTCAGTACACCTTTGGACTCGTTCACCATATATATAATTTCTTCATCCATCGCCGCCGCTGGACCTCTCCACCCCGCCAGCATCCCCTCCGGCATCTCCTCCCATGCGTCATTCTTCATGTCGTAGATTATCCCTTCCTTCGCTGCGTCGCCTTTGACATTCACCATGCAAAGCTTTCCTTTCCATCCAACAGCATCAATTGCGTCCCGACTGAATCTCCCATCTCTTAATCCTCCCATCTTTTCCCATCTCCAGTTTGCCGTCTGAGAATCTCTCTTTATGTTGATGCTGGAGTTGTTTTGGTTCATTAGTAGGTCCCACTTTTCAACCGACCTAGCTACGTCAAGGTTGTAGTGGGACCCTACACCACTCGCCATATACACCACGCCGGCCGAAGCGCCAGCAGCACACCATCTACGTGGGGCCGCGATTGGAGGACCGTAAGTCCACGTCTTAGATAGAGGGTTGAAGATCAGAGGACTGTTGAGAGCTGGTTGGAATTGATCGGCGGTGGCAGCAAGGAGGACTAGTTTGCCGGAGACGGTAACGGATTGGATGGGAAGTCTACGTGAGATGAAAGAGGGGTGGCGGAGAAGGAGGCAGAGAAGAGGGTCAGGTGGTGGTGAAGGAAGTGAGAGCCAGTTTGAAGAGATGGGATCAAAGCAAGAAAATTTGATAGAGTCGTGCGATTGGTGATCTGGGGTTGTCTCAGATGGTATCAAGAGAGCATAGATGGATAAAAATGGAGGAAAAGAAGGAGAGTATATAAGCCGGCGCCACGGCCAGCAAACGGAGTAAAGAAGTGAAGGTTGCACTTTGGAGAGACAAAGTTGGGCTATGTGGTCAGGAAGTCCTGGCAGCAAAGATTGGTCTTCACTGGTCTCTGGCAGCTCTTCTTGTTCTTGTTCTTGTTTTTGCGGTGTTTGGTGGTGGTGGTGATGGTGGTGCTTTGGCCTTTTAGCGACTGAGTTGATGGTGAAGGAGGAGGATCTGGAGGTTGTGGTGAAGATGGATTTGCTCATTTGTGGATGGGAGGAGGTGGGAGGACGAGGAGAGGGGGAAGAGATTTTTTGTCAAGGGGTAGCCTTATAATGGTGTGGGGCTAGGGGAGTGGCATGAGGTTATCTATTTCGTAATCTAGTAATTTCTTTGTTCAAGAATTTTCGAGTCATTGGTCAGAGAAGTACAAACAAGTGGAGGATGGAGATGGTGGGGATGATGTCAGGATAAAAAGTAGAAAGTTGGATAGTTGTACGTTTGTGCAATGAATGAGAAAGAAAATGCTGCATTTTTGGGCAACTTGGCAGACACAATTAAAATTGTAAAGTTAGAGATCACCTTTACAACAAACATGTATGACCAACTCATTATTAGATTGCAATTGAGTAGGGGCGGTGCTTTTCCATTATTCAAGAGGATTGCCCTGTAGCTAAAGGAGGAAAAAGGCGAGGAATCAGTCAAAACGGTTAAAAGGATTTCAATGTAAAACAACAAAGTCTTCCTTTTCTCTGCTTTTCATCATTTTGGCTCGTTTGGATTCCTCAATTGTTAAAACATAAGTTTTTCATATATAATATTATAATAATATATAAATAAAAAATAATTTCAAAACATCACATCTATATAATATATTAAAAATAATTTCAAATATACAAAAAAATTAAATCACCATCATCACCAACCACCAAAGTCTAAAAACACACCACCCATCGTCCCTTCCTTCTCTCTCCTCCCTCCTCCTCCTTCTTTCTCTTCCTCCTTCTTCTCTCTCTCCTCCTCCTCTTTCTTTCTCTTTCTTCCTCCCACTTCTTCCTCCTCCCTTCTTCTCCCTCTTCTTTCCCTTTCCTTCCCTCCTCCTTCCTTTCCACGTGTCTCTCGCTGCCCCCCTTCCTCTCCCCTTCTCTGGTCGTGGGTGGCAACCATTTTTTGGTCACTACTCGAGATCAGAGACGGGGGAGGGGGAGAAGAAGGGAGGAAAAGGCGTTGTGTAGTAGTTGGTGGTTATAAGATTTTATAAAAATTTTAAAAATATCTTATTAAAATTTTAAATTTTAAAAATAACCCAAAATATATTTTAAAAAATATCCAAAAAAATCATTAAAAATATTTACAATAAAAGATTTTACCCATTGTTATTGAATCCGGCCCAACCTGACGGTTCAACTGATCAATCCGGTGAACCAACCGATTTTATGAAAAATCCGATCCACATGGAAAATTTTGTGAAGATGCTAGAATGGAGATTCAAGCGCCCGACCTCATGCATATAAATTGAATACAATTCCGCTAGTCTAACCACCCATTTGTTTATTATTCTATCATCTTATATTATATATTAGACTTTTATTCTTATTTTATTTCTCCAAAACAAAATTTATTTGGAATCTTTTAATAATATTTTATTATTCCCCAAACTCTATAAATTATGAAATTGATTTAAAAAATAACATATTACACAATTCCTTTTAAAGGCAAATATCATTCTTAATAAACTTTTGCACTTAAAATTCATAAATAAACTAGATAATTACACTTAGATAAAATTTTATACTTAAAATTTGATAGATTACTAATCAAATTTAAGTTGTTAATTATTATAAGAATTAATGACTCTATAATAAATTAAACTAACTGAATATTTATTATGGCATAAAAAATTATGAGATATAATATTTAAATATATTTAGTGACCCACCAATTGGACCACTCATCCACTGGTTGAACTAGTAACCTGTTGACTCACCTCTTTCACCGGGTTCCACCCCGGGCTAGGTTTAATAATTATGTTTTTACCTACATTGTTACAATAAAAAATAATTCAAAAACACCCCAAAAAAAGCTAATCCAAACATATTTGTATTTTGGACATTGGAAAAACACCTACTTGTGTAGTCGAACCTCCTTGGATTTTATCTAAAATGAAAGACCTGTGGAAGGTAGGGTCATCTTCCCAGAATACACTTGGACACTTAAGTTCCAACAAAGAAAATATTAGTTTCAGATAAATGTTCTAAAATAGTAGTTATCTCTTTTCTTTGACAGTCTCTTCTTTCTATTTACCTTTACACAATTTTTTATGCAATCACCACTCCATATCATCGTAAGACCTCAAAGTCGAGGTCTCATAATAACATGTTAAGTTGAGACTTGTTCAACCTTTTTATAGTAGATTAGCGACTTGTCAACATTTAAAATAACATGTCAAGTTGAGACTTTTTTATAGTGGATTAGTGATTTGTTAACACTTAAAATAACATGTCAAGTTGAGACCTGCTCAACCTTTTTATAGTGAGTTAGTAACTTGTCAACTTTTTAAATGATTTAACTTGCATGTCATGACACTTGTCAAGACACATATCACCTACCATCACATAGGACTTCTAGCAGTCTTGTTAGAGTAACCTTAAACTTTTATTCACTGGCAAAGCTATGAAGTAACCCATTTCTTCTTTTCCTAGAATAGTAATCGATCTACTGAAAAGTGAAAACATTTTAAATGGAACTTACCTTATGAAAAGTTAAAATCGATTTATTATAATAAAACTATCACGAGTCCAATGTATTCGAAGCTTTGGCTCTTACTAAAACCTTTCTTTGGCTTAGGTTTCATATATTTGTTAATGACTCAGTGGAAGCCATGTTTCAAATGTCCACTTTACAATTATGAGGAAGAAGTAATACCCGTTGTTAATTAATTATTGATATGATTAGATGTATTGTCTCAAATCTGAAACCAATTATGCAAGAGAGAAAAATCATATTCGAGATTAATGAATAAATGAATAAAGAAGTTAAAAGAGAAGAAAAAAGTTTAATTGGCTTTTCTATGTTTTTTAATACTAAAATTTCTAGTACATATAACACAATTTCAATCTGTTTCATATATGATTTCATCTTAAAATCCTTAATATTACTATTTGAAATTTAAGGAACCGTAGTGATTCAAACTTCAAACACTAAGACTAAAAATGCAAAGTCCAAATAGTTGACTGATGAAAATATGACTTTGATTGATGAATTGTCCCAAGTCTGTTTAAAATTAGATACTTTGAAGACTACACTTACTTGGATGTGAGGACTCAAAATTCTCTTTTACTGGGCTATCTATTTATATATTTATTCATTTGCCCCAATCAATTTATTCATTCATTTTAATTGTATCTGCATTGTACATTGCCTCATTTTATTTTTTTTTAAACATGTTTGCTCTTAAACTTAATTTTTTTGTCGCCCAATTAGTGAAAATTTGAGAAAGTATGTTTTTCAAGGCAATATATGGTCTGAGAGTGCAGTGGTCTTGGAGAGTTAAGGATGATCAATTGTAAATTAAGAAAAGGTAATTAGGGGATTAGAGGTGAGTGATTTGAGTTAAACTCAATTAGGAGTATTAATAAACCACTATTCAAATGTTGACTTTTTCACCATAAAAGTTGGCTTCATGTCACTTCTCTCTTTCACCATTTCACTTCACAAAAATCACACAACACACACTCTCTCTCTTCCTCTCTATGGCTGAACCTCCCCTCTCCCTTAGCCAAGAAAAACTTCATCTTCTTCGTCTCAATCTTGCTCACTAATCTTGCTCCCAACCTTACTCACATCTTGGATTATCTTCAAACTTGGTAGAAGATTTGGTGGAGGGAAGATTCTTGGAGGTTTAGTGCTTGGTTTCTTGAGGTCTTGCTTGCTATCCTTGGAAGGAGGTAACCTCTCCAAACTCTAATTTTTCTTTCATCCATTGGCTAAATTTTAGCTAGATACACTTGGGGTTGTTGAAGGGTTCTATGAATCTTGACATTAAGTAGCTTGTCTTGAGGATTTTCTTGCCTTCTTGACTTGCTCTTAGGAAGATGCCTTGAGGAGTGATATGTTTGATTTAGTTGGATGATCATGTGATATAGCATGGATTCTTGGCTTGCTTGATGGCTTGATTTTACCTCTTTACTAGCTTGCAAGATTATGGCTTTGTTGGTTAATATTAACTTGCTTTATTGGTTGTTTTGGTGGCATGAAAAGTGAGTTTTAATGCTTGAATCTTGGTGAAAAAATTTTAGTTTTGGCACCTTCCTTATTGACCGAAAAATGCAAGAGAAATTTCAGTTTTTCAAGGCCACTAGTTGGCCGAATATTGAGGTTAAAATTTTCAGTTTTGAGCCCCCCTCTTTGGACAAAAATGGTGTTGAAAATTTCTGGTTTAAGTGACCTTCTTTGTAGCTTAAAATCTGAGCCAAAAACTAGTTTTTGGTGAAGCCTTATGGCCAAAAGTTTGAGCAGAAATTTTCAATTTTTGGATCCTCTTCTTGAGCCAAAATCTTGCTAAAGCGATGGCTTTAGATGCACCTTGATCGGAGCAATTAAACTAGCTTTAAACGAAAGGAAAAGAGAAAGGTTTCACAAGTAGGTTTGCTGGAATTTTCATGTTTCAGTTTTCAATAACCAGCTTTTGAAACACTATTGTATCTTGGTGTAAAAAAATCCAAATTGAGTTATATTTGTTGCGTTTGAAACTAGACTTAAATTCCTTCAGTGGTATAAATTTCAAGGGCTAGTTCGATTCCTATGAATTTTGATAAATTTTCAAAGTTCACTGAAATTCAAGACTGTTTTGTCCTATTTTTACTGAAGTAGCAATTTGGAACTAAAATTTGACCAATTTTTTATTTGAATCTGGTGAAGTGTCTTCTAGAGAGTTTTAGTTCATTGAATCTATTTTCCAATGATATAAAATTTACAATTTTTGGATTTATGGAACTCAAGTTATGATTTTTCAAAAAGCGTTACAAAAACTGAAATTCTCCATATAAAGTGACAAAAGCTCAAAAGTGGTTTGGAAACATTTTCTGGGTTCAAACCTAACCTTTTTTATTGTTTGCACCCCATTTCATACTTGAAAAATGGATTTCGCCGAGCACATCAGATTTCTCTTGACTTGGATCGGAAAGCTTGATTGTTTGGAAGTTGGCCAAGTTTCAAGCGAAACTAGTTGGTTTCCTTTGATTCCAAAATAAGATTTTTCACCTCCTAGTTGGTTTCCTATTCGGGTGGGGGTACCTTTCATCCCGACTCAGTGCTATGATCGATTCTAAGTCGATTGGAGTGTTGTCTCTTC